GGCTGGCCCGAGCGGCCGCGCGCTTCTCCGCAGCCTGCCTCTGCCCTGCGGCCGGCGCTGCGGCCCTGAGCCTCTGGAAACGCAGGTGCCCCCGTAAGTTTATTCCCCCTTACAGCAGCTGTGGAGACCGCGACACTAAGGGCGCTGAAAAGTAAACATTGGGGAAAAGACACATGTTTTGACCGACTAATGTGATGTTGAATGAACTGTTTTCTCCAGCGATGATCGAGATATTCTTGGGGAAAATCCTTACCGTGTTAGCAAGCTTCTTGTTCTGTCTTTTACCCTCCTTCCTGAGCGCTCTTCTTACGTGTAAAACAAGGGGGGTTAAATACAGTGTAAAGTCCCTTGCAGGCATAGCAGTTTCTGGTCTGGTGTTTTCTGTCGTGTAAGTCAGTGCTTGTCGTTGATAACATCGGGTGTCCGTTCTGTGTCACGGTAAGAGAATTCCAGAACACAAAGGAAACAGATTCCCGACCCTAAAACCACTCCCCTTCCCTTCCCACTTGAGCCTTATCACCCTTTATAATAAACCAGAAATGAATTGCAGCAACCCAAGACCTACCTTTTTGTAAAGTCAGGATGGGCGTTTATTTCTAAATTTTAAAACAACCGTAAAATGAATTTTTCCTGCTGACGGCTCTCTGTTCCTCCCTCCCCCGGCTCCTCCCTCCCTCTGTCCTTCCCCACTGTACCAACATTGAATCGAGAGAGATCTCCAGCTTTAGCTGCTCAGTGCCTGGGTGGCGGGGTTTAATTTCATAGACGCTTTGCCACACCGTTTCTTCCTCACTTGGAGAGGCCGCCAGAGCAGATCTGCACCTCTTTTCAACTCTCCTGTGCACGACAGAAATGCACGCGTGGGAAAGCCCACAGCCAGTGCTAGCGGGAGACCCATACGAGTGCTCGCAGGCGCCAGACCTAGCTTCAGAGCACAAAGATGATCTGAGACAGGCTTGCTAACTTGAGAAGAAAAACTTCCCCCAGCCTCTCTGCTCCCCAAAAGGAGAGTGGGGAGCCAAATGCTCTCATGTCCAAGGCTGAGACCCCTGGACAGAGGACACTCCCAGCCCCTCCCCCAGTCACCCACCCATTCCTTCTGCCCCCCAAGGCCCCTGACCTTGAGCCTTGGTCTTCCAGCTCCGTCCTCACCTGTGGCCAGTGCAGTGACTGACCGCACCTGGCTGAATGCCAACCCAGGCTTATACTCCTTTTCAAGAAAGGAGAGGCAGCTCTGATCGCATCTGCTCTCAGAATGTATCGCCTCATTTCCTCTCCCAAGTCCAGCACACTAAGCTCCCCTCACACACAAGCCCATGGTTCCTCAGCTTCCCGTGCCATGTTCAATGGCCTGGGGAGGGGGGTGGCACCAGGCTGCCTGTGGAGACTCCCGCTAGCCACAGACTCATCTCGACTCCTCCGGATGGATCTTACAGCCCAAAACCAGCAGCTATGGGCATCCAACCACTGACGGTTGCTCTGGACTCTATTTCCCAACTTTGTCTCTGTTGGCATTTGGGGTCAGAGGATCTCTCTTTTCCAGGGCTGCTCTATGCTTTTCATGAAGCTAAGGAGCCCCCCTCGCCACTCCAAGGCACCAGCAGCCCACCCCAGTTTTGATCCGTAAAGATGCTCCCAATCTTGGCAAGCGTTGCCTGCCTGGGAGCAAAACGGTTCCTGCTGGAGAACTGTGCTTCTCGAAGCTTCGCAGAGCAGAGGTGACTCAGCTCACATTTACACGGGACAAGTGTGGCCAGCAGAGTCCAAGCTGTAACCTACTCTTCACATGGAAGGGATTTTTAACCTAACATCTTTCCCCCACCTCATCCTATCCCTTGTTATAAAATATGTTTGAAGGCTAACAATTTTGCAGATCTCTTAACTTCTCAGTATAGAACTAAGAGGATAATTAGAAAATGTCATTTACATCTGACTAATGTCTGAACTTTTCTCCACCATTCAAATATTATTTGTTAACCAAATTATGCACGTATCAACACCTTTCTCTACTTTACGCACGGGCCCTAACCACACCATAAACTAACCTAAATACACACGTGCAATCATGCGTGCCTGAATCTAATCACTACACAGCACTGTGTGCACATGGAAGAAAATCACCTTAAAACATAAGCTAAAGAGCGCTGAGTGATCCAAAACCCAGTTACAGCTGCTACTTCCATTTTTACTGTTTCCCTCACATTCATTTTGTATTATAAATCCCCTATTTTGTAATATGTCCAAACCAGATTTCTTCAACATTGAGGCAGGAAGTCTGAAAGCATACCTACCTTCGGTTATTAGATTACAATGACATTATGATTAGTGTTCAGTATTGCACTGGTTCATTTTAATCAGAGACACACAAATTCTAATAGTGTCTCAGAACATTAGCATCTCCTTTATGAGTGTATGATTCGGTCAGAAAAAGAACTAGGAATGGGAAAAAGGAAAGGAATGAACAGTAGAATGGACGCTCTGGTCTCCCTGGGGGAGGAAGCATGGTGCCACTGTGGTACCCGATCGGTGAGACACAGCATGAGAGAAAGGGCAGTCCGCGCTGGCGCTCCGCGGTATGAAGGAACCTTTAGTGCAAGCTCGAGCTTGGGCCCGGCCGCAGCCAGCGACATCCAGTTACCAGGAAGGGCCCCGACAACAGGGGAGTACAGCTTACATCGGCCTTGCTGGCGCGCAGGCCAGGGGCAGTTTCTGCGTGGTTGACCTTCACGTGCTTTCCTGTGTGGCCGGCTGGCTGCTGGCCATTGTGGCTGGTCCCCTGGAATGGCCAGCCCACGTCCCACCCACACGTCACTCAAGAGGAATCCTGCCCCTCCCAAGGATACCGAGCCCCCTCTCACATGGCGGCTCTCAGAACGTGGCCCAGTTATGTTCCTCCGTCTATCGTTTTTATCTTAGTGTTATTTACCTCTAGTCAAATTACATCCTGACTCTTTCAACGATGTCTAGTAAAAGCTCATCTACCTACTGCAAGTGACGCTCTGTCTGGCCACAGTGCCGGCTGCAGCGGGCTGTGGTTCCTGCGTGGTTTGCAAGGAACGGGGCCTGCCTCCCTCGCCTGTCTCCCAGCCGGTCTCCCTGTGGGACAGTTTCGTGGGGACCAGCCGTGGGCGGCCAGCTGTGATGTCCTGCAGCCACTACTCACGGTGCTGGTTCTGGAATGCGCCCCAGGGAGACGAGGCTACTGGCCAGGCCTCTGCGAACACATTCCAGGGCGGCCGATGCTATGGGGAGCCCTCCGTTAGAACTGAAGTCTCTCAGGGTGGGGGGCGGGAAGACGCCAGTCTGCCTTGGGGACCCCAGACTAGGATGGCGTTAGAGCCCGTGAGCCGCAGTGGCAAGGGATCTTGAAGAAGCCCCCCATGTTCAAGGACCCTGGGGTTTGCAGGCGCCAGGCAGGGCCTTGGAGGGGCCGCTGAGTCGGGCTGCGCGTAGGCGCGGTGGAGACGCCAGGGTGCGCCGTGGAGACCCAGGGTGCGCGCAGACAAGAGACAAGAGCTAGAGCGCCATTTTGAGCACTGCTGCTTAGTAAGCGCTGGCAAGGACCTCTCCTGAAGGGGTTGGGGAAATCTACACAGGGAAGGAACGTGAGTTGTCATGGAACGCCCCGCTCAGGAAAATCCAAATGAGAACATGGTTCAAAAGGTCTCACCAGATCAGCGGTGCTGACTCTGCGGCTCATGAGCTGAATGGGGGGAGCGG